TTAGGGTGCGTTGGAAGGACCGGAGGTCGGGGATTATACGAAGCTCCGGGAGCAGCTCATTCCAGCTATTTAAATATTTTTATTTTAAAAAAAAAACCTTTCTTCATATATTTCTACCTCACTACATTAAGGAGCAAGCAATTAATCAGAAGAGAGTTGGAAGGGACCTCGAGGGGTCTTCTAGCCAAACCCCCTGTTCAAGCAGGAGACCCTATACCAGTGATGGAGAACCTTTTTTTTGGCTCGCGTGCCCAAAGCGGGGAAAGTGTGTGTGTGGGGGGGTCATGCGTGGGCCTGCCACATCCATAATGCTATGCGCACGACCCCAGAGCGCATGTGTGCACAACCAGCACTCTCTCCAATTTTTGACGTGCTTTGTTTCACCCTCCCCTGGCTCCAGAGGCTTTATAGACGCCTGGGGAGGGCAAAAACAGCCTTCCCACCCCCGAGGCCCTCCAGAGGCTTCAGGGAAGCTCCGGAGCGTGAAAAACCGGCCCTACGGGCAAACCGGAAATTTGGGAACGGACTTCTGCTACTTTCCGGCGAAAAATGGCCTCAAAACAAGGCTGAAGTTAGCTGGCCAGTGCGCGCATGTGCACTGGCCAGCTGATAGGGCAACGTCTCATGTGCCCTGACATATGGCTCTGTGTTCCACCTGTGGCAGGCATGTCATAGGTTCACTATCATGGCCCTGTACCATTTCAGACAAATGCCTGTGCAATCTCTTCTTAAAAGCCTCTGATAATGGAAAAGAACCACAACTTCTGGTGGCAAGTTGTTCCATTGGTTAATTGTCCTCACGGTTAGGAAGTTCCTCCTTCATTCCGGGTTGCTGATCTCCTGGATTAGTTTTCCATCCGTTGCTTCTTCGCTTGTCTTCTGGTGCTTTGGAAAATAAGTTGTCCCCCCCCTCTTCTCTGTGGCAGCCCCTCAAATGCTGGATTAAAAAAAAAACACCCTCTCCAGGTTTGTGAACAATGGGAACTTACTGGTAAAGGCGGACGTTGCCTTTCTGCTGTTCATCGGCTTTTTCATCCGGTAACGGTTCTCTGATCTCGCGGTTCCTCTCCCCCAGCGTCGCCTTCATGATCTGCATAAGCTCCGGGCAGTCCTTCTCGTTGTCGATGACGGCAATTTGGGCCCGCCCGCCTCTCTCGCCATCCCGGATGCTTCGTGCCAAGATCATTCCCTGGTCAATGGTGATAAGACCAAAACCATGCAAACCACAAGCCATTCCAGCGTGATTACAGTTACAGTCCTTGACTTACGAACTTATTTGTTTAGTGACTGTTCGGAGCTATAAGGGCGTGAAAAAAAAATGAAGCTTACGGTTGTTTTACGATGGTTCAAGCAACCTCGTAGTGACAGTGGTCGAACTTCGGATGCTTGGCAAGTTTTTATAGCGGTTTAAGTAAAGATTCGTGATCGTTTTGTGAGGCATCAAGTTGAAACCAAGTCTTTTTAGTCTTCGTTTTTAAATTTTTTTACAAGGGCCTGTTGAGTTGGATAATTCATTGNCTGCAGTGCTGCACTCTAACCACTGCGCCACCTCGGTCAGTGGGTCAGGACTACTGACCTACTGATCTCACAGGACTACAGATAGTCCCCCAGTTACAACCACCCAGAGCCCAAAATGTATGTTGCTAAGTGAGACGTTGGTTAAGGGACCCTTTCTTTCCTCTGTTGTTCAATGAATCTCTGCAGTTAGTAACCTGGTTGTTAAGTGAATCTGGCTTCCCCGTTGAGTTTGTTGGCCAGAAGGCCACAAGGGGGGAAATCACGTAACCTCCCGCGACATTGCAACCATCCTAAATATGAGTCAGTTGCCAAGCCTCTGAATTTTGATCGCGTGACCTTTGGGTCATAAGTGTGAAAAATGGTTCTGTCACTTTTTTCAGTGTCGATGGAACTTCCAACGGTCACTAAACGAACTGTTATAAGTTTGAGGACTACCTATTCCAGTGATGGCAAACTTTTTTGGCTGACGTGCCAAAAGCGGGGCGGGGAGCACAGGGGGATCATGCGCCAGTGTGCCACACCCATGATGCTGTGCACGTGACCCTCCACAGCATGCATGCATGCGCGTGATCAGTGACACCGCCCCACTTTTGCTGCATTTTTTTCGCCTTCCCCAGGCTCCAGAGGTTTTCTAGGAACCTGGAGAGGGCGAAAACAGCCTCCCCCCCCCCCGGCTTCAGGAGCTTCCAACACATCCTCCCTGCTGCTCGTAGAGTCCCCGGAGGCCCTCCGGAGCTTTCCTGAAGCCTCCGGAGGACAAAAAACAGACCTACAGGAAACCCGGAAGTTCAGGTATGGTGACTTCCGGTTTGTCCGTAGGGCCGATTTTTGACCTCCGGAGGCTTCAGGGGCCTTCAGGAGGCTTCCCTGAAGGCTCAAAAGGGTGAAAAACAGCCCTAGGCTCTCAGCTGCTCCGGGCCACAACCGGTACAGCTGTACCAGTACAAAACCGGCAGCCACCCACCACTGATCCTTCCCAGACAGCTTCCAACAAGCAAATTCAATGGGCTAATCCAGAGTCATTTAGTAACTGTGTGACTCTCTTAACAACGGTGGTGGAAAAAAGTTGCAAAATCGGGCACTGCTCCCCTTGACAACGGAGGTTCTCCTCCTAGTTATGGACGTAAATTGAGGACTTCCTGTATGACACGACTTGGCTACAGATGTTTCGAGCTTGCCTTCAGAAGTTTTGGGAGCTTCATCCCTGGAAGCTTTCAAGAAGAGACCGGACTGCCATCTTGTCAGAAACAGTGTAGGGTCTCCTGCTTGGGGGGGGGGGAGTGGACTAGATGACCTACAAGGTCCCTTCCAACTCTGTTAGTCTGTTAATGTCCTTGAAAAAATAGTTTTGGCTTCTCTGTCTTAATCTCCTGGTCTGAGCAGTTGCATCTGAACTGAAGTTTAGTTTTTGAGAATGCAAATATATTAAATATATATATATATAAATATATCAGGGGAGGGGCTGTCCTTACCTCTGTCGCTGACACATGCTTCTTGCCCTTAACATGAAGGAGCCTTTTGATGTTATACATGTTGGTCTCAACATGCTTGAACCCTGAAGCCATTCCTCCCTTCTTGTAGCTGTTGAAAACAAGACTTCATATTTAATTACAAAAAGGGAGGGTTTTGGGGGAAAAAATACTTGGCTACTCTAAAGAGCTGGGGTCATAGAGCTAGTTAGAATATCACCTTAATTTTTTTTTTAAAAAAAGAACAGGTTACTAGACCTCACTGTTACAGGTAGTCCTCGACTTACCACCATCATGGAACTTCCCAAGTTGTCATGGTCACAAAACAGTGACCCATCCGATTTTACTGTCTCTTTTTCTCCGCAGCGGTCGTTAAGACTTTTATTTTTCTGCTCGAAACCAGAAGTAAACACCGCTTTTCAGCAAAAAACGTTGGTGTGATTATAGTAGGAGGCTGCAAATGGCTATGACTGTGGATGATGGGTTGCTGAGTACCTGTAATGTAGTTCCATGGCCACAGAGGGAGGGGAGGCAGTTGTTGAAACTTTGCAACTGGGTTATAAGTACATCCACCACCCCCTGCCGGGAAGGTCTATCGTAACTCCGAACAGTCACTAAACAATTGGTAATAAGCCGAGGACTACCCAAATTAGAGTATGGTTGAACAAGACTAAAACAAAAGAGATAGGAGGTGGTTAGGTATTTTTGTTGTTTTTGTTCATTGCATGGACAAGTTTCCCCAACACTCACATGATGCCTTTCTTGAAATAACTTTTGAAAGCAGCGGATTCGTGTCCTTGAGCCTCGCGGTGCTGAATGGCTCGGCCTCCCAGGGAATCATCCATCTGGGTGACATAGAAAGCCGCAGCCCCTTGCTCGTCCTGAGTGGCATCGCGCCCGATCCAAAAGTGGAGATCAGTGGCAAAGCCATGCTGCATCTTTATGTTCTGGAAAGGAAACACGCATGGCGTTAAAATTATTTTCCAACCGCCGGAAGGATGGGTCGGAAAAAGAATAGAATAGAATAGAATAGAACAGAATAGAATAGAATAGAATAACAGAGTTGGAAGGGACCTTGGAGGTCTTCTAGTCCAATTCCCTGCCTAGACAGGAAACCCTATATCATTTCAGTTCTTAAAAACTTCCAGTGTTGGAGCATTCACAACTTCTGGAGGCAAGTTGTTCCATTGGTTAATTAGTCTGTCAGGAAATTTCTCCTCAGTTCTAAGTTGCTTCTCTCCTTGATTAGTTTCCACCCATTGCTTCTCATTCTGCCCTCAGGTGCCTTGGAGAATAGTTTGACTCCCTCTTCTTTGTGGCAACCCCTAAGATACTGGAAGGCTGCTATCATGTTTCCCCTAGTCCTTCTTTCTATTAAACTAGACATCCCCAGTTCCTGCAACCATTCTTCATATGTTTTAGTCTCCAGTCCCCTAATCTTCTTTGTTGCTCTTCTCTTCACTCTTTCTAGAGTCTCCGCATCTTTTCTGCATCATGGCGACCAAAACTGGATGCCGTATTCCAAGTGTGGCCTTACCAAGGCCTTATAAAGTGGTATTAACCCTTCACGTGATCTTGAGTCTATCCCTCTGTTTATGCAGCCTAGAACTGTGTTGGCTTTTTTGGCAGCTGCTGCACATTGCTGGCTCATATTTAAATGAAAGAATATTTAAAAGAAAGAATCACTTTTATTTATTTATTTTGTTTTCCAAGTTTTTTATTTTTTGATTTTTTATAAATGTATCGAACCAATGCATGAACAGAGTGGTACCTGGGTGTCATACACTCTAATACGAGTAAAACTGATAAAGTTAATCATACCCTGTTTCCCTGGAAATAAGACAGAGATCTTATTTTCTTTTGACCCCCGAAATAAGCACTTGGTCTTATTTTGGGGAAGGTCTTATTATTTTTGAGGTGAAGGGGGCGGCCAGTGTGGTCACCTCATGGCTGCTGCTCTGTTGCAATATTTTCAGGGAGGGCTTATTTTACCACATGCGTGCAAAAGCCTGATTGGGCTTATTATCCGGGGAGGTTTTATTTTCAGGAAAACAGGATACTGTATTTTTCAGAGTATAAGACGCACCTTTTTCCCTCAAAAAAGAGGCTGAAAATCTGGGTGCGTCTTATACACTGAATACAGCATTTTTGGCCTCCCGAAACCCCGCCCCCTTCAACAAAATGGCCATGCAGAGCCTTTAGGAGGCTTCCAGAGTGCTCCTGGGGGCTGGGGAGGGCAGAAATGAGGGGGAAAGGGCTGTTTTTTGCTCAATTTTGTCCTCCCACCCCCCAGGAGCACTCTACAAACCTCCTAAAGGCTATTCATGCCCTTTAAAAAAAACAGCTTTTGCGGAAAATGGGCTGATTTTGAGAGGTTTGCAGAATGCAAAACCTTTTTTAAAAAATTTGCCTCTTCAAAACCTTGGTGCATCTTATACTCCCAAAATACCGTAATTATTACATTCAATATATGTTTTTTTAATAATAATAATAATACACATATTAGATTGCAATCTATCATTATTCAATTGTTCCATATTTTCTCCTATTACTTTTATTATATAAAAATGTATGCAATATTAATTCCCCCTCCTCTTATTTCTATCACTTATTCTAGTTTTAGTCCTGTCACCCTTTATTAAAAGGCTTTTTCTTTCTATTCTGTCTAATTTCTAATCGTGTCACCTACCTACGAAAAGAAAAGAGAGAGAGAAAAGGAAAAACATATCAGAACAACAAAAAAAGAAAAAAAGTCATCCATCCATCGCCTCTTGCCCACTTCAGTACTTTAATTGCTATCCTTCAAAGGAGAGAGAGAAAAGCAAAAGCAAATGAGAACACATATATTTTCTAAACAGTAGCAATAGCACTTAGACTTATATACTGCTTCACAGTGATTTACATCCCTATCTAAGAGGTTTACAAATGCTAGCATATCCTCCCCCCCCCCCTCAACAATCTGGATCCTCATTTTAACAACCTCGGAAGGATGGAAGATGCAGTCTCCAATCTTGGTAACTTTAAGACTTGTGGACTTTAAGTCCCAGAATTCCTCAGCCAGCCCTGTTGGGGTAGGGGATTCTGGGAATGGAAGCCCACAAGTCTTAAAGTTTCCAAGATTGGAGACCCCTCCTCTAGTGAATAACATATTTTGTACAATTATCCTTTCTCCGTGGAAGCTTACATTTAGTACGATGTAGCAATCTCCTTCAAAGAAACTCCCATAAGCCTTTGCAGGAATAGGCTCCATCTTCATATTCTGAAAGAGAAGAGATCATATGCTAAGCAAGAAGTCCTTGCAAGATGTTTTTGAACGTGGCAAAGAGTTCCCATAAACATATTTTTTTTAAATGATGTTTAGCATAGGGCGCCAGAACCAGAAATGTTTTGGTGACAAAGAAATAACTTATGCATAATTAAAAAAGAACAAACACACAAAGGAAATGGACAGCTGCATAAATAATTTGAATAATTACATTAATAATATAAACTTTAGTGCCACTTTTTCTGTGTACACACTGGCACAGATTAAAAAATGAATTTCTGATGCCTGCTCTCAAAATATATATTCCCCTATAAACACATGTATGTGCTGTGTATATAGAATGGAAGGGAAGGGAAGAGGGAAGAGAAGAGAAGATGGTAGAGAAGATGGAAGAGAANAATATGCTGACTCTGTAAACCGCTTAGAGAGGGCTGAAAGCCCTATGAAGCGGTATATAAGTCTAACTGCTATTGCTATTGCTAAGTGAGAGGTCCTTGGTGTTCTCTGAGCTTAGCAGTTTCTTTGCAGATGTTTCATTACCCAACTAGGTAACATCACCAGTGCTATTAGGGAGAGGGGTTTGCTCTCAATTTATACTCTGGGCAAGCCAAGCCAAGCCACTAGAATATAAAGTGAAAGTGTACCATATTTCTTACCAGCAATGGTGATGTTACCTGGTTTGAGGAATGAAAAGTCTGCAAGAAAACAACCAAGTTTAGAAAACAACAAGGATCCATCATTTCAATCCTGATTGGCCAATATTCTCCTTCAAAGAGAGTCTATAATCGTCCATCAGTGAAGGTTTATGCTCATTCTCAAGAGCAGGGATGGGCAACTATGTGGACTTCAACTCCCAGAATTCTTGAAGTCAGCCTTCTCTTCCTCACCCCTTTCCTGGAGACTTCTGGAGTTTTCTAAATTCATGGCCAACTCCACAAATGTTTCTTTTATACAATGCACCATTCACTTCCATGCTCCAAAGGTGCTTTTCAGGAGGCAAATCGACTTTATTTGTTTTTTTCTTTGAAGACTTTTCGCTTCTCCCCCAAGAAGCTTCTTCATCTCTGAAGAAGATGTTGGGGAATGGAAGGATTTATACTCCTTGCAGAGAATTGGTCATTTGCGTCCTTTTAGAGGGTCGTTGAAGCTTTTGGAGGTTAACCTGTCCTCAGGGTCACCTGAGTGGTGCTCCTGGTTCCTGTAAGTCTGCAATTTTTTTCCCTCTGGAAATCCTTCCCTACTCCCTCTAAAAGGATGCAAATGACCAGCTGTCTGCAAGGAATATAAATCCTCCCATTCCCCACCATCCAGTCAGAGCTGAAGAAGCTTCCTGGATGAGAAGCGAAACATTTTCCAAGAAAAACCAGGAAGTCCAGTTGCCTCTTGAAAAAAGTATATTTGGTTCAACTAGGACACAAATAAACCTCCAAGTGCTTCAATGACCCTCTAAAAGGATGCAAATGACCAGCTGTCTGCAAAGAATATAATCCTTCCATTCCCCACTATCCTGCCAGAGCTGCAAGAAGCTTCTTGGATGAGAAGTTAAAAGTCTTTAAAAAAAAACCCCCAAAACAAGGAAGTCCAGTTGCCTCCTGAAAAAGCACCTTTGGGACCACCATGACCTGGATGATTGAGAATCTCTACACACATTCAGTACCCTGAGATGTAATGCTGGCTACCACCTTTGTTGGCTTAAAGAAATGAATTGAACCCCTGGTTCTTAACCTTGATGGTAGCAGAACTCCTCTGAAGATCATCTTCTGGGGCACTTGTGGGCTCTCACAGGTAGCTAATAGCAAGAGATGGCTGGACTAGATCTAGTAGACTAGGTTCCTGCTTATGTTCTTATAATCTGGGTTAGTGTTTTAAGTTGTTCTGACCGAGGCTTCCTTTAACAAGCATGAAGCAGAGTCTTGGTCCCAGAAAAAGCCCTTTTATTTACATGACTGTGAATTCCTCTCATTCACAGCCAGCCAGGCTTAGCAAACAGTCTTTCCGAGGAATATTTATCAACACGAACCTTATCTCATTTGGAGAGCTGCCAGATAACTAGTTTCCAAACCCTGGGCAAAGCAACACTTGGCACAGAGCCTCTTATAGTCACAAACATAATTTTCCACTCTTGAAATGACCAAAGAAATGAATTGTTTCCTGCAAAAGCCCCCTCTCCATTCGCTCCTCTTTTGTTTCCTATGGGAGGGGCCAATCACCTAAAAGGTGTGGCTTTACTCCCAAGTCAATCCTGCTGTCTTAATTGTTCTTGTCTTCTGGGAACAGGCTCCAGCTGTTCCTCTACGCACACTGGGAACAGGCTCCAGCTGTTCATACACTGGGAACAGGCCCCATTTGTTCCTCTGCCTCATTGCTGTCTAGCTCCCTCTCTGCCTCCAACCCAGAGCCCTTGTCTGAGCTTTCCTCGGCCCCCAGGACTGGCCCATGTTCCCCCTCCCCCAACCTCCTCACTGTCCGACTCCACTGCCAGCTCTGATGTCCACTGCCAGGCCACAACACAAGTCTCCAAAACTACATCAAGATATTATTCTCCATGGCTGACCTTTGATTTCTCAGCAATGTTGCAGGAAGGTCCATTCCACTGGATTAACACTTTGCCAAGATCCAACAGAAACACGTCACCTTTGTTGAAGTTGTCCCAAGAAAGATCCACCTGTTTGGAGATAACAGAAAAATGCTGCCATCAAAACAACATGAAGAAGTTCAGCACAAGTGAACAGGTATGAACACAACTGAGCCCAAAATTTAAGAGACATTTGTTAAGTGTGTTTTGCCCTAATTTATGATCTTTCTTGCCACAGTTGTTAAGTGAATCACTGCCGTTGTTAATTTAGAAACACGGTTGTTAAGTGAATCCAGCTTCCCCATTGACTTTGCTATCCGAAGGTTGCAGAATGGAATGGAATGGAATGGAATAGAATAGAATAGAATAGAATAGAATAGAATAGAATAGAATAGAATAGAATAGTATTGAATTTTATTGGCCAAGTGTGATTGGGGACACAAGAAATTTGTCTTTGGTNTAATCGGGCGCGGCTTAGTCGAGCGCGGTTTTGACGGGTCACGGAGAAGAAGAATAGCAACACATCCCTACTATATGGGTAAATATCTTTAGGCATAAGACAATGCTGTGGGAATTCGGCTTTCAGCAGAGTAATGGCACGAGGGGAAAAACTACTTTTGTGTCTAGTTGTTTTGGCATGCAGTGTCCTCTAGCAGCATTCTGTTGAAACAGATTATGTCCATGATATGAGATTCTATGAGAAACTAATCAGGGAGGGAACCAACCTAGAACTAAGGAGAAATTTCCTGACAATTTGGACAATTAATCAGAGGGAACGATGTGTCTCCAAGGTCCCTTCCAATTTGGTTATTCTGTTGTTGCAAGAACTACACAAGGAACAGGAGGACTTTGACTTCTTTTGATGCAACACTTGAAGGCAAGCATTGCAAATAAAGAATGCAAATCTATTCGTGTTCCGAGGTAGAGTTAAACCATTAGACCTTGTTGGGAATGCAAGTCAGAGGAGGAGGAGACGCAAACTCACACTGCAATGAACAAGGATCTACATTCAATTTTGCAGCTATTAAGATTGTTGGACAAGCAGGCACAAAAACAGCCAGGGAAGCGACCGAAGCCTGGGAAACGGGCCATTTGTCAATCAACAGGAATGCTGATTTGCCACCAGCTTATGAAATACTTAGGTGAGGTCTTGGCAGCACAAGGAAACAATAGCCAAAACTTAATAATCAGCCATCAACAGTCCAATCAACATCTAAAAAGCCACACACACCGAGCACCATACAAAGAATAGCGCCAGACACAGAAGCACACCTTATGGTTAGAGGTGGGTTTCACATAAGTTTACTACCAGTTTGCCATGCATGCTTGCTTTCTGAGTGTGTGCGTGGCCTTCCATGCATGTGGTTTGCTTGCACGTGCAGCTTGCACGCAGGCGCGTGGCTTAGAAAGCGTGGCTAAATAGGACGGCATAGAGCCGGGGCGAATACGCGGGTGGGTAGGCAGGTTGCTTTTACCAGTTCGCCCAAACCAGTCTGAACCAGCTCCGATTCTGGTCAGAGAGGAAGTTTCCTGAGGATGGGTTCCAGCACGAGTCTGAAAGCTTGGAAAACTAAACCTCTAGTCCTCATGATTGACTCAGATTGGGCCCTGCAACATTATCCTGGAACACGTACGTTTGCCTTCTTCTTCTTGTTGAGGATTCCTCACTCTGGCTCCGTTTTTCCCCAGGAAAATTTCTTGAATGTCTAAATATTCCTGGAACTTCCGCACATGGCTGCATAGTCTTGTTTCAAAATCCAGGGATATATATATATATTTGCTTCATTCATTAACCTGGTGAAGTTTTCTGCTTCAACCCACGCAGGACTTGTTGAACTGGATAAGCATGTTGGTCAAAAGAGACCACTAAAGATCAGCTGTTTCTAATAGGCCACAAGATTGTTGGCTAAAGGTTGGCCGCATCTGTAAACTTTGTCTCAAGAGGGTTGAAAATGCGGATATTCCCCTCCCCCCCTTTTTTTTGTTTGTCAAGGTCATCGTTGACCAATTGGGGGCAAAGAACAGGCAGTCCTATCTTAATCAAGGCCAAACATCTCTTCCTTGTTTTGGAGGAATTGCATTGCCTCTGGTTCACACAATCCAGGTATCAGGGTTTTAGCAAGGGGTTCTCTGCCCAGTTGCTGTTGGCGTGGCTATGGTGGGCATGGCGTAGTTGGCCTCCTGCACCACAGCAGGGGGGGGGTGTTTTTGTTCTCCCTGGGCTCTGGAAGCTTTTTGTGAGCCTCCGGGAGGGTGAAAACGGCCTCCCCAGGCTCCGGAGGCCCTCTGGAGACCCGAACTTCTGGTAGTCCCATTTTTCACCTTCCCTGAGCCTCCATGGATGCCCTACACTTACCTGCATCCAAAACTGGGCCGCGTGGAGACTCTTGGGAGGGGCGGGCTGGGAGGCCCATTTCTC